AAGTTTGACTACTAAACACATATTGATTGTATGTTATATGTTTTATTATTGTATAAAAATAGTTTAATATTAAAAAAGTATAATGCACATAAACACAACAATATTAGTACTGAAAAGTTAAGGTATTTACAAAAATAGGTTTTCTGCTGAATTCGAAATCATAAAGTATTTTGTAGGGTTTTGTTTATTAAGCTTCTATTGTAATTGGCATAATAAAGGCAACCATAAACTATACAATTTTTTATTATAAAATATAATTGTAATTTAGATAGACTAACAAAAAGCAACCAATTTTTTATTGGTGAGAGTAGACATTTTTCTACCTCGGATAATTTTGTTTTGTACCAGGGCTGAGAATTATTAAGCAAATAGAGGACAACGAAATTATATTAAATTACATGGGAAGTAGAAGACCACTTCTCCCATTCGATTGTACTACACGCCACTTCTAAAGGACGGCTGATGCATGGAAATATTTAAAAGGCTTATTTGAATACAAAAGAAGTGCTAATTCAAACCCCCCCGGTTCGATCCTCGTCCAGGTATAAATTTGAACGTCTGGGTAAAACTCGTCTTCGACCCTGAAAAAGGTTGTTGGTCTGCATCGGCCGAATCGTCCTCCAGCCTCTTCTCTCTTCGCCGAAGGGAGAAAAAAGAAAAACAGAAAATTTCCACCCCCTCAACCTCGTGACTTTCTTCCATCCCATTTGCCCGATAGATGTTCAGTGATCAACTTTGTTGTTCAACTCGGCGAATGATTAAAATTTAATATTTTATTCTAGTAGTATTTTTCACATACTTATCTTGAGGTCTGCGGGGTGATGAACAAGTTTAGTCGTTTCCGATCATTTTTTAATTCAACATATTCTAGCTGTTTTGGTCTGTCAGATAGCATTGCCGTGTTAACATGTTACCACTTGACTAGTTTAGCACACACACCTCAAAATTAACAGTGTCCCGTAAACAGACATCAAAGACTCCTTCAACCTTTAACAACTTTATTCCATATTAAATTCACTTATTTCGTGGTCCGCTTGACCAATTAATATATTACAATTAATTAAGGTTTTTAGTTGAGATAAAAAAGTCAATGGCACGAGCGGGATTCGAACCCACAACACCAACTTCCCATCTCAACCACACCTTTTGAGTTTTCCCTCCTTTTTGCCATTTTTCAAATGTCGTGTAATCGGATTGGATTCTCGACGACAAATGAAATGGCCACGGAGAGCTTTAGTGAAGTATACTTCATTTTAAATCATTAAATTACGTTGGATGTGTCTTGTTTATGTCCAACGTATATTAACACAAAATAGCAAAATCTCACAGGCACACTCAACACGACACGCAAGAATGGCACAATTACACAGAAGACAAACACTTTGAGTGAGCAGAAATACTTTGATTGAATATATAAAAAAAATATATATTTTGCATTGTATAAATTCACTTTTCCACATCCAAAATGTAATTGTTATATGTAAACAATGTTTGTAAATCCCAGGCCCTGAAGATGATCTCAATAAAGATCGAAACGTTGGCATGATAAAGAAAATGTTTTTCTGAAACCTAATCACACCATACCGCATCTCATGATTTCTAAATAAATTTCATATAACCTTTTTGGGAAGCTCCTGATGATATTCCTTCTAATACCAAAAAATTGATGGTAACTTATAAAGAGGTTTATAATGTTTATGTGCATATTTCTTTTTGTTAATTAGAAATTTTAATTCTTTGCCTAACCAGACAGGATAAATTGCATTGGCAACATTAGAAGATTGTACATATAATTGTATAGCATTATTTAGAACGGTCTAAATAACGTATTTAAATCATTATTGAAAAATAATGAATCCCAGTTAATGTTAGAGAAATTAAATATTAAAGAAGAATAATCACCCTTGTGAAAATTAGGTTGTGAATTAATAGGATTGTTTATAACTGAGTAATTATTTACAGTTACTTCAATTAAAAGAGTAGGAAGATGAATATCCCATTGTACTATTGAATCATAAGAGATTAGTTGTTATTAAGCTTAAGAGATTAGTTCCCCCCCCCCATATAAACCCTCAGATACCTGTGTTTTTGAAAAAAAGCCCATTTGTAAGTATGTCGGGTTCGAATGGATGGCAGCTGGATTCGAACCCGGGACCTTTACCTTAAAGTGATGAGCGCCGTGTCAACCACTAAACAGTTGCGGCCACCGACGTCCCCCTTTATTGTTTTTATTATTCGGACTTTCATCCTGAAGTGTTGTCACTCACCGATGTGCTGACTGTAGGGTCTGAACCTCAAGGAACTTCACCTACCCCGTATGCAGCTGAGTTGCTAGTATACCTTTAAGCCAGATGCTCTGGAGATCATCACTTCTCAAGCAGCTTCAAGCTCGTTAGGCACTGACTGGGGCTGTCAACACCTCGGTCATTTCAGTCTCCAACCCATGCAAACTATAATCCAACCTAAAACTACTAATCTATGTAGTACAGTCGCACAAATAAATACATTCACATATATGTACATTGCAATCATTCTGATTAGTCAGTGGAGTACTCAATATTCCTCCATCGAACTACACACATAATCTAATCTAAATTATAGTCGATGGGGGAGATAGAGACGGTATAATTCACCATCAGCCCCTCACCACTCACACTAATAAATACAGTCACTCAATCAAAGCCAGTAAAAAATGCATGAAACAGATATTGTTATTAGATTAAGAGCTTAGTTCAGTGTAAGTAAATGAATTAAAATTTATCATCACAAGATCTAGTATATTGAAATTTGATTGAAAAATTGAAATATTTTTTTTTAATCAAGTTTATTTGTTTGAGGTTATGAAAGGACATAAATTACACTAATTTGTTAGTAAAAAGCATGACAAATAAATGATCAATGTTATTGTTTATCACAGGCAATTGAATCCTAATAGATTTTATGGCTAACAGAACTCCACCACCTGCGATTTTAGAGGTGATGAGGTAATTTCTATCAGAATAGTACACATTGTAGTTTACCATTCCTAACTCACTATATTGAGTTTTATCATTCAGCCAAGTCTGGCATGATAAAACTATCACATCATAATTAAAAGTAGAGATAACAGATCTATACGTACATAACTTTAACACTAACATTCTGGTACTATAACGAGAATTAAGTTAAATTTAAAAATTAAATTTAAATCTAATTAATTAAATTTAAATGAGGTTTTGAATTCTTAGATACAATTCTAGGGGCACAATTGATATATTTAACTGTTAGATTTCAATTTTTAGTCTTGTTTCTTGGGTAGTTCATAGATCAACCAAAAATTTCCTTTGTTTAGTTCCTCTAGCCAATTGAAAAAATATCATCCCTGCGAATGCTCCTTTTGAAACTCAAAACCGTTTTCGCAACAGTAGAGTCTGGGATAATAACACAATACCGATGGCAGCCTTACCCACCCGTATGCACATTGGTGATTACTGACCTTTGAGAAATTAAGTACATATGTTTAAGTAGGAGGTACTTTTCTGTTTGCACCATATCCGTGAATATTACAGAACCAAGAAAATCTTGCTTTAACTTTCGACAAGAACTTGGAAAGGGATTTTGTGTTTAATTTGCTTAAGGTTACAATAAAAAAAAAAAAATCTCATAGCATTTTTTAATACTTTTTTCATTCATGAAACAATATTTACAGTAGGATTAACATTTTATGAGGCACATTGTGAAAGGTTGAAGTAACCTGAAAAGTGAAATATCTCGAATACAATTGAAAATCAGACTTTGGATAATAGGGGACTTTTTTGACATGTAGGATAACCTCGTGAAGTATTGTCCTCTATTCACAGGACACAAATTAATTACAAAAGCAATTTCCATGGTCGTAATTCAAATAATACTTTTACTCCATAGTCAGATGTTTGTAAAGTATTGTTTTTTGCTGAGATTAGGCTACGTTAGAATTTTCAATAAAAATCCGATGAATTAAGTATTCCTGTCTGTATTGTATTGAAGTTTTCAAGAGCAGGATGATATCCCATGAAATTTGTGTTGTCAAACTACACATGACAACTGGTCTACTAACCCATTAATATGTAATAATAACCAATTAATTAAGGTTTTCAGTTGAGATAAAAAATTAATTGGTTAATATTAATTGTTCAAGTGGACCACAAAAATAGTGAATTGAATATGTAACAATTAAATTCACTAATTTCGTGGTCCGCTTGACCAATTAATACATTACAATTAATTAAGGTTTTTAGTTGAGATGAAAAAAAGTCAATGGCACGAGCGGGTTTCGAACCCACGATCTTCGGCTTGATACGCCACTGCTCTACCACTTGAGCTATCGTGACCTCGATCCACTCGGACACCAACTTCCTATCTCAACCCCACCTTTTGAGTTTTCCCTCCTTTTTGCCATTTTTCAAATGTCGTGTAATCGGATTGGATTCTCGACGACAAATGAAATGGCCACAGAGAGCTTTAGTGAAGTATACTTCATTTTAAATCATTAAATTCACTAATTTCGTGGTCCGCTTGACCAATTAATTGTAATATGTAATAATCTTCATTTGCGACATTGATAATGTTGTAATCATTTATTAATAAATAAGAATTTTCTTTTGTAGTCTGCAAGGTGTTAGACCTATAGTTCTAGTTGTAAAAAAAAAAAAAAAAAAAAAAAAAAAAAAAAAAAAAAAAAAAAAAAAAAAGATAGGCAGAGCAAAATGATCAGAATTACATTTTTTAAATGTAGTAATTCAAGAGAAAATAATAATTTGTTTTTAGGATCTTACAATAATCTCTACTTGTTTCCAAGCTAGCCGATTTGAAAGAAATTCTGGTTCTGCCAGTATTCAATGTTGACCGCACTAAATTGAGCTTTGTGCATCTTTAAAACATCGTAAATTTGTCAATTATTAATACAATCTAATGTTAATTCTTGTATATTTTTTGTATGGTCACCTATTTCTATAATTAATTTATTATTTAATTTTCTACAGAGTGGAGAGAGGGTGGTTTGGGAGATCCACCAAGTGACACTGAACCGTGTTCCTGGGTATGGTTTTGGAATTGCTGTCAGCGGAGGTAGGGACAACCCTCACTTTACCAATGGAGATCCTTCCATTGCAATATCTGACGTATTGAAAGCGGGTCCAGCCGAGGGGAAACTCTTGTAAGTAAATTCGACAGTTATACATTTAAAAATTGCATTTCATTATATTAATATACTGACTTTCCTCATCAACATGTCTTTATTTCTGGGCTTTCCAGAGTCAATGACAGAATTATGAGTGCAAATGGCGTGTCATTAGATGGTGTTGAATATGCAACTGCAGTTCAGGTTTTACGGGATAGCGGGAACACGGTTCAGTTGGTTGTTCGAAGGAGAGTCGTTCTTCCATCATCTCCTGAACCGCAAACGCTAAGAGTGCAAATAACAAAAAGCAGAAAAAAAGATGGTATGACAATTGGGCCATTAATTTAAATTATACATATTAGTCCCTTTATCACCTTTTGTTTCAAACAGCCCCCCCTTCTATTATTTATGTTTGGTCCTTGAGTACTTCTGTTACCTTTTTTGCTACTTAAAGAAGAATTGGCCTAGAGAAATAAAACATAAATCCACAATGGAATAAAGGACAACAAAATGATTTTTTTTTTTATGCACTGTATAGAACATTGATGTTTTAGATTTTGGTATAGTTCTTGGAACTAAAATCTACGTAAAGGATGTTGGCACTAAACTAGAAGGGAATTCGCTTCAGGAAGGGGACATAATTCTTAAAATTAATAATTATTCAACCGATGGAATGAATTTAAAGGAAGCAAGGAAATTGATTGAGGGTAGTAAAGAGAAGGTCAATTTGTTAGTGAGACGAGAAATGCCAAGAACGACCTACGCAACTGAACCTACAGCCATTCGTACAAAAGGTATTCAGCTTTTTTCATTTATTGTATGTTATATTCACTAATTTCGTGGTCCGCTTGACCAATTAAATCATTACAATTAATTAAGGTTTTTAGTTGAGATGAAAAAAAAACTAATGGCACGAGCAGGATTCGAACCCACGATCTTCGGCTAGATACGCCGCTGCTCTACCACTTGAGCTATCGTGACCTCGATCCACTCGGACATCAACTTCCTATCTCAACCCCACCTTATGAGTTTTCCCTCCTTTTTGCCATTTTTCAATCAGTCAATTCAATTTCAATTCAAATTTTTTTTGAAAAATGGCAAAAAGGAGGGAAAACTCATAAGGTGGGGTTGAGATGGGAAGTTGATGTCAGAGTGGGTCGAGGTCTCACGATAGCTCAAGTGGTAGAGCAGTGGCGTACCTAGCCAAAGATCGTGGGTTCGAATCCCGCTCGTGCCATTAGCTTTTTTTCATCTCAACTAAAAACCTTAATTAATTGTATGTTATATACTTTACTTGCAATTGTATATTTAGAAGGGAATTACATGGATGGTGTAAACAACTACGCCTCGCAGAATGTTTACGTTCAGCCTCCGACAAGGCTTCAGCTTGATGATAAAAGTAACTTGGCACCAAGAGGAAGATCCCGTGGGCCGTTAATGGACCCAAGTTCCATATCGCAAGTGGAGAGATCTTCTAGCCCTCTAAGTCATGCTCATAGCAGGAGTCGTAGCGGAGTGGAAGAAGCTCCAGATCCACCTCGCCCTCCACCACCTAGATCTCAAGGTGTTTATATTGCCTTTTTAATTCCAAAATCTATTCCCAAATAACCTTTATGTACATAAATTAGTTACATTAATTTATTGCATCAGTGTGTGGTTATGAACTTTCTCTTTGAATTGACTTTTATCTTTTAATTTATTTTTACTAAAATGTTAATTTGATAATATGCAGATTACTACAGCAGTTCTCGTCATTTGTATGAAGATGACTCTTTGCATGAAAGAAAAATGTAAGGCACTTGGGTTTTTTTGTTTGGGCATTGATTAAATAAAAAACAACGATTTTGTTACAGACCTGAGCCGAGATTAATTACTTTTCTTAAGGAAGGATCAGTCGGCATAAGGTTAACTGGCGGAAACGAAGTCGGCATTTTTGTCACCGCTGTTCAACCTGGCAGTCCGGCAGCTCTGCAAGGTCTCCAACCAGGGGACAAAATTTTGAAAGTATTATATCTCTTAAATAGGTTTATTGTCATAAATTGGGGGTCATTTTTTTAATTTTTTTTATTAAGGTCAATGATATGGATCTCAAAGGAATTACCCGAGAGGAGGCTGTCCTATTGCTATTAAGTCTTCAAGACCAAATCCAGCTTATTGTTCAGCATCGTAGAGAAGAATATGAACATGTTGTAGCCAACCAACGGGGCGATTCTTTCCACATTAAGTAAGCCAACTCTAAGTTTAAATAAACACATAGGAACAAATATTAAAAATTAAACTTTTTAAATTTTTCCCTATCTTTTTCTTAGAGCACACTTTAATTATGAGCAACCTAATAAAGGTGAAATGACCTTTAGAAAAGGGGACATATTTCATGTTATCGATACGTTACATAATGGTGTAGTTGGATCATGGCAGGTCTATAAAATAGGTACAAACTAATAGCTAATTTAGAGGTAGTTTAATTTTTTAATTTTTTTTTTTTTTTTAATGAAGGAAGAAACAACCAAGAAGTCCAACAAGGGATAATACCCAACAAAGCGAGAGCTGAAGAATTGGCCACAGCACAATTCAATGCCAACAAAAAAGAAGCTAACAACTCTGAAAGTAGGGGTAGCTTTTTTAGGCGCCGCAGAAACAGTCATAGAAGATCAAAATCGCTAAGTAAAGTAAGTAATATCTTTAGATTTTGGGAACGCTCTGTACAATTGGAATATATACAGTGTTCTGGTCCCCACTTACTTTTTTTTTTATCGGTGCATTTTTGGGAAAAACAACATGCAAGTAAACTTTTGTCTAGTTTCTCATGAGACAAAAAGTTTTTATTTGACCTCCAGGATAGTGAGATACAAATAGAAGCTTGCCTATTTCAAATGGCAATGTACATTGTACATTTTTTTTCTATTTATTTATTTTATTTTATTTTTTTTTAAATGCTGAATTCGATTTTTAATTTATAGCAACCGTTCTCAAATTATTCGTTTGCTGAAACATTGATTTTAAAAAAAATGAAATCTCCAACCAAGAACCAATTTATTAATTTATCATTTTAATTGATAGTAACTACAGTTAAAATTAAAAATAAATAAATTTGTTATTGGTTGTCCTAAATTAAAAACCAATGAATTCAGTGTCAAAAACCCTTTCAAAAAAATGTACATTACAATTAATTAAGGTTTTTAGTTGAGATAAAAAAGTCAATGGCACGAGCGGCATTCGAACCCACGATCTTCGGCTTGATACGCCGCTGCTCTCCCACTTGAGCTATCGGGACCTCGATCCCCTCGGAGCTATCGTGCCATTGACTTTTTTATTTCAACTAAAAACCTTAATTAATTGTAATATATTAATTGGTCAAGCGGACCACGAAATTAGTGAATTTAATGATTAAAAATGAAGTATACTTCACTAAAGCTCCCCGTGGCCACTTTATAAGTTGCTGAGAATCGAATCCTGATTTCACGACATTTGGAAATGGCAAAAAGAGGGAAAATTCGAACGGTTGTTGGTTGAAATGGAGAGTTGGTGTCCAACAGGATCGAAGTCATGATAGCTCAATTGGTAGAGCAGCGGCTCATCAAGCCGAAGATCGTGGGTTCGAATCCCGCTCGTGCCATTGACTTTTTTTCATCTCAACTAAAAACCTTAATTAATTGTAATATATTAATTGGTCAAGGGGACCACGAAATTAGGAAAAAATGTACATTATGAGTATCATGCTATATGAAATAATTTAGCCCCTATTCGCATTCTGTTATCCTGGAGAGTTAGATCAAAACGTTTGGGTATTGATTTTCATATATTGATTTTTTTTGTTTATTTTTTTTTTAATTTGCTTACATTATTGTAGAAATTGTAACTTCATCATAAGAATGTTTTTTAAATTATTTATTAAATTTGTCATTAATGACAAACAATGTATGCCAGTGTTAATAATAATTTTATTGCCTTAATGACTGATGTGATATATTTTTATAGGATCATTGGGATGATGTTGTGTTCGGTGACAGTGTGAGCAAATTTCCTGCTTATGAACGCGTAGTACTCAGGCATCCTGGCTTTATGCGCCCAGTTGTACTCTTTGGTCCTGTTGCCGATTTAGCGAGAGAAAAACTGTTAAAAGATTTCCCTGATAAATTCTCTTCTCCTCGTATGTTATTTTTCTACTGTTTAACCGTTTTATACAGTAAAATTTCACTTTCATTTTTACAGATCTAGATAGCAATATTGAAGAGGTTGCTAAATCTGCTAAAACGAGTGGAATCATAAGGCTAAGTGCGATAAGAGAAATCATGGACAGAGGGAAACACGCCCTTCTTGACATCACACCTAACGCAGTCGACCGATTAAATTATGCACAATTTTATCCTATTGTTGTCTTTTTACGTGCAGACTCAAAACATATTGTCAAAGAATTAAGGGCAGGAATGTCTAAGTATGTATCCATTCACTTCATGCACACAATTACTTAACCCTCTTGCTAAAATTGTGATTTTTTTTCCAGAACTGTGCATAAGAGCAGTAAAAAATTATTCGAACAAAGCCAAAAAGTTGAAAAAGCGTGGGGCCATGTTTTTTCAGCTACAGTTCCCCTTTCTAGTCCAGAATCGTGGTATCGAAAAATACGTGAATTGATTGATAAAAATCAAACAGCACCAGTTTGGATGAGTGAATCTAAAGTAAGTTCAACCAAGATTAACACGTCGATAGTGGATGTTGAACACTTCGATATAAATTGTCCCTTGGAAGGTAGGGGCTACCGGTGAAGTGTATTCAACATCTAGTTGTGAGAATTTATTTGTTTTAAAACTTACCCCCTAGATAAAAGGATTTTTAAAATAATACTGTGAAACTTCTCTTAATGAGTAGCTCTCGTAACAGACAAGCAAAGAAGATGTGATTTTTACACATTTTAAACCCCTCTGTACCAGTCTAGACAATGTAGTATTTCATCCCTTTTAGAAAGGAAGTAAAAATATATGAAATATCCATATGAAAAATACTTGTTATGACCATTTATTTATTTATTTAATTTTTTTTTAACTCAAAAATGTTTCAGAAAGGTAGGCTAGGTATGACACTAGTTTTTAGGAAATTTTGCGTACTTTTCTTTGCCCTTTTTTATTAAGTGCTACTTTTTTGTGGAAATTCCATTTCTCCTCTCATATCCTGCTCTATGTTCATTTGAACATGACTAGGTGATCCATTTTTTTTTTTTTTTTTTTTTTTTAAATTACATAAGTACATTTTCAAAAGTATTTTTTCACAAGGCATGTTCAGGCATTTGACAGCTTTTTTTCTCCAATTTTTCTGGAAACTACTTTTGCTTTATATATTCTGCTTCTTTTTCAAAAGTTCTCTTTCACAGAAGAACTGAAAAATTTTGCTGCTCAGCTCTAACACCATTGACTCCGGTGGAAATTAGGATTGCCCACCCTTGTTTGGTCTGTTATTGGCCAAATGGGCACATCTTGGCTTTCAAGTCTCAACTGTATTTTGTCCGCTTTGTGAGACTTATGCAAAATTAAAAACTATTTTGGATGCTTGAGATTTTAGAGATGTCATTTAAAAATGAATGGTGAACAAATTAAGAATGCATCATAGGGATGAAATGTCTTTAATTGTAAGTTCACTAATTTCGTGGTCTGCATGACCAATTAATATATTACAATTAATTAAGGTTTTTTAGTTGAGATAAAAACTGTCCGAGTGGATCGAGGTCACAATAGCTCAAGTGGTAGAGCAGCGGCGGATCAAGTTGAGATTGTGGGTTCGAATCCCGCTCGTGCCATTGACATTTTTATCTCAACTAAAAACATTAATTAATTGTAATATATTAATTGGTCAAGCGGACCACGAAATTAGTGAATTTAATGATTTGAAATGAAGCATACTTCACTAAAGCTCTCCTTGGCCATTTCATTTATTGTCGAGAATCCAATCCGATTACACGACATTTGAAAAGTGGCAAAAAGGAGGGAAAATTCAAAAGGTGCGGTTGAGATGGGAAGTTGGTGTCCGAGTGGATCGAGGTCACGATAGCTCAAGTGGTAGAGCAGCGACGTATCAAGCCGAAGATCGTGGGTTCGAATCCCGCTCGTGCCATTGACTTTTTTATCTCAACTAAAAACCTTAATTAATTTTAATTGTAAGTTAATCGTAACAGACTAGAATCAAGTTTTTCATTTATTTTATTCTATTTTTGTTTGTAATCACATATGTTTTTATTTATTCCTTCAAATATACAAAATATTATAATGTTTTTCTAATGATGGAATTTAGGTGCAAAGAAACCGGGTTTTCCATAATTGAATTTATTTAGGGATAGAAGTTTCGGCTATAAAGCCCATCTTCAACATTCCAGCATAGAATTTCAAAATATAACAACCAGCAATCAATATGGTTCGTGTAAAAGTTATACATAAAACAATGGGCTAATGGGGTTCACACCTGAGTGGTCAGATATTTATCGCAGAAACATTTACGATTTTTATCTCAAGATAAGTGAGGTTCATACCGAAGCGATAAGGCATGAGCCAGCCAGCCAATGTCTTCACTCTTTGAATTGAATATGACACTGAAAGAAGAGACAAGCAGGCGTTGTCTCTTGTTACACGTATCTTAAGACTCATGTCGCAACCATACAGGTGTGAACTAATTTTATCGTTCCTTCACATTTTTTATAGGCCTGAGTGTCGCGTATCTTACAAGACAATTATTATATATCGCTTACAACCTAAACATGTGCATCTTATTGCTCTGGCATGAACCCATTAAGGGCTTACGTTAACTTAAGTAATGCTCTTCCTCATAGCACAGCCTGTGCTCGTGCCAAAAAACCTTTGATCATAAGTTCATAAACCTCCAGTTTATAGAACTGACTAAATTCTTTTGTGCCAAGTGAAAAGTGTAGTTAAAATATATCTTATTTTATGAACCATCCAGTTCATGTACTGTATCCTAGCGTAAAACAAAGTATTTTCACATTCATTACCAATGCTTATTTACATTCATATAAAGAATATTGCACACGTTGGATGTCAAAATGTTACACCCCTGGAAAAGCCTCATTGTTAAATCTAAGATTAAATTCACTAATTTCGTGGTCCGCTTGACCAATTAATATAATACTATTAATTATGGTTTTTAGTTGAGATAAAAAAGTCAATGGCACGTGCGGGATTCGAACCCACGATCTTCGGCTTGATACGCCCCTACTCTACCACTTGAGCTATCGTGACCTCGATCCACTCGGACATCAACTTCCCATCTCAACCCCACCTTATGAGTTTTCCCTCCTTTTTGGTTTGGATTCTCGAACCGATTACACGACATTTGAAAAATGGCAAAAAGGAGGGAAAACTCATAAGGTGCAGTTGATATGGGAAGTTGATGTCCGAGTGGATCGAGGTCACAATAACTCAAGTGGTAGAGCAGCGGTGTATCAAGCCGAAGATCGTGGGTTCGAATCCCGCTCGTGCCATTGACTTTTTTATCTCAACTAAAAACTTTAATTAATCGTGTTAATTCTAAGTTAAATAATATTATTCCATACATGTTTAGCGGTCTTTATTGACCATATTAATTATTCTTTTTATCTAAAGTCTTTGTAAATGTTAGTGTCACAAGTGGTATCTTTTTTTCCCCTGTCTGCAAATTACTTGTCTAATAGATATGAAGTTTCTCATTTATCTGCCATTTCCTTATGTTATGCTCACTTTCCCAAATCGGTGGACTGTCAGACTTAAACCAATGAGGCTCAACTTTTGCATGATTTGACGAACCAGACAAAAACAAATCTTTCAAAAGCTTGGCCTGAAAGAAAAACTAAAATGTTCTTTTTTGATCTCGTCTGAATCCATCTCTTCTTCATTATAAACTTTTATTATTTAGTAACACGCTTTAATCAGTTGACTTTTCCACTTATTTGCTGATGGGATAAATGCAGCAGGGAACCCATATTTTAATAAAAATTTAGCACAATTTTTATTAATAAGTTAATTTTTTGTTTAAATTGAAACTATATTGTTAAGTTTATTTTTACTTTTTTTCAGTGGCTGGAGTTCACCTCTAAACTATATTTCCCACCTTCCCCACAACCAATATCTTATCCTCTATATTCCTTACCTACTAACAATATACCTTGTAATAACAATATCATTAAACATTATTTTGGTTTTGTCTGATATCTAATGTTTTGTTTTTGTTTTCTTTTGCATGTATGAACTTATTTATTTGATATTGCATAAGTTATATATATAAAATAATTAAAAGTTGTGTAAATTACATAATATTTATGAACGAGAATGCATCCAAGACCAAAGTTGACTTCATTTCTAACAATAATTTTTTTTGTAGTGTTTATTTTCAGATATTTTAATTTTGTTACTTTGTTTGACGTTATCTACATTAACATTTAAGTATGTGGAGTTTTGTGATCTAACATGTGTGTTCGATAACCGTGTTCATTAGCCTGAAGAAGCCCTTGCTGATGACTTCTTATTCCCAATGGGTTCATTAAGACTCTCATACGCTTCATCACCCGAATCAGATTTAGAAGCAACTCCTGGTGCCCTGGGACCCACAGGAGGCAGTCCCAGGCTAGTTAAATGCTCCAGTGATCCTAGTATCGCCACCCAGCCGGATGGTTCACCAAAATTACAGCATCCGCCTCCCTATTCACCACCTCATAATCATGCATTGCAGGTATAATTAACTCTACTGTGAATTTATGTTTACGATGTACTAACATTAAACTTCATATGTGAAATTGTTTCATATTTCTTGAAGACATATGAAGGACACATTAAACCACGAAGGTCCGTTGAAAAATATGGAATGCTTCCTCCAGAATTACCACCGAGGATAGATAGAGCAGTTAAACCACCGAGAACGAGCACCAATAGCCAAAGATCAGCCCAAGAGCGACTTTTTGGTTCTGAACCACCTAATTACATAAACGCAACTCCTCATGTAAATCAATCTTCTCTTGATCGCCATAATAACAATAAATCGGTAATTTTTATTTTGTAAAGATTATTTTTGGATAATTAATTCATTAACTATAATGCAATTACAGAATAGTTATGATAGTGTATCATCTTACGATAGCTACAATAATCAAAGATTAGGCTTGGGTCCGAATGCGCATGATGATCTCAAGTCGTGCAACGGAGGACCTGGTAGCCCACAAAGACAGGTTGCCCATGATCCTTATAGGTTCACAAGATCGACACAACAGCCCATTAAAGACTCTCCCTCAAAAATAAAGCCCCCTGATTATCCTAAATACAGGTAAGATATTAAAATATAAAGTTGAATTGTATGATTAAATTCACTACTTTCGTGGTCTGCTTGACCAATTAATACATGACAATTAATTAAGGCTTTTAGTTGAGATGAAAAAAAGTTAATGGCGCGAGAGGGATTCGAACCCACGACCTTCGGCTAGATACGCCGCTGCTCTACCACCTGAGCTATCGTGACCTCGATACACTAGGACATGAACTCCCCATCTCAACCCCACCTTATGAGTTTTCCCTCCTTTTGCCATTTTTCAAATGTCGTGTAATCGGTTTGGATTAGAGAAATGGAGGAGAATCCAAACCGATTACACGACATTTGAGAAATGGCAAAAGGAGGGAAAATTCATAAGGTGGGGTTAAGATGGGGAGTTGATGTCTGAGTGGATCGAGGTCACGATATCTAGCCGAAGGTCGTGGGTTTGAATCCCTCTCGTGGCATTAACTTTTTTTCATCTCAACTAAAAACCTTAATTAATTGTCATGTATGATTAAAAATTCTTTTTTTGGTTCAAGGCCTCCAGGGATAGGAGAGTTCAGTCCAAGCAAACCATTGCCTCCGACAAAACCACCTTCTTCGCAACATTCTTATAAGCCAATACCACCACCGAAGCCAAAAAATTATAGGCCGCCTCACCAAAGCTATTATCCACAGAGTAATGGATATCAACATTCTAAGTCATTTAGTACAACAGAAAACAATTATTCATCACATTTGCATAATGGGGTAAGTTCATTTTAATTTTGTTAATCGTGCATTGGCTATTGTTAGTATGTTTAATTCGCTCAGCTCAGACGATACGACAGTCAGCTCAGCTGTGCAAATACTAGCAGCACCTGGGAGAGGGATTTCTATGCTATGTCCCTCCCAGTACACTGCACTGCCGACCCCCTAGCTGTCCCTCGGACCAATCAACATTTATAAATATAACTTGGTGATATTATTCTCTGACGGATAGGACCTAACTACTGTGCCTTTGATAAATGTTCAAAATAATAGGTATGAAAGTAGTTCTCATTGTTATTATCATGATTACATATTTTAGGTGAGTTCCTTACCTAATAAATATGGATCTGAATCAACTGAAATGAATGGTCATGGGAGTAGTTTAGATAGAAGCACATACGGAAGATCAGGAGGGCAGCAACAATATTATTACAATGTAGTTCCATCTCCGAGGCAGAGTCATAATAGAGAACCAAGTGGATTAGATTTGGCACACAGAGCTGACCAAAGAGGGAGTGCTTTTGAATTGTATAAAAAACCGACCGATCCTAACAATCATTACAATATTGAGCATGGTTTAAGGTGATAATTAATTATTAATCTTGTATTTATATTTTTAAGAGTGATGTTTTTTAATAAATAAATTGTTTTCAGTCTATGAACCAAATTTTTTCAAGCAGGGGAGCGTCCAGTTGTGATTCCTAAGCAAAAACCCTTCACTAAACAAAAAAAAAATCAGATGGACAACATTAGCTTTAAATAATGATTGTGATTACCTTTAAAACATATATAAAGGATATCTGTGTGATTCAGTCATATTGTGCCATTTTTTTAACATCCTGGGTGTTGGTACTACATCATTCCAATTAAAAATTACTTTTATTTGATTGTCATATTTTTTAAATTTAACTGCATCTATTGAATGAAGATGGGCATTTTACTTGATTTAAAACTATACAAAAATTAAATGATAAATAGTGTTTAGGGATGCCTTAAACCATAGTTGATCTGCAATGTAATTTCTCTCAGCTTTATAAGGAAAAATAAATAAATTGTTAAATGATGAAATCTTCAGGTTAAAAAGAAATGTAGTGATGTGACAGGTAAAAATGTTAAATTTTAAATAAAACCTAAAGCAAAGACAGCAGATGTACCTGGTAGCATGATTTAAATGTTATGATCGAAAATGTATGTAGTTGACACAACTTTAACTAAGAAGCTCTATTGTTTCTATATTGTATTAAAATTTTATTGCATTTATTTACAAATATTAATTTCTATTAGTAAAAATTGTGTTAAGGCTTAGATTATAAATGTTATTGTACATGTATTGATTGATTATTGATATATCATTGTAGACTACTCAAATTATACCCTGATTTAAAAATTAAAATCTCAGGCATAAATGTATAAGTACATATTTATGTATTTAACCACTCATTGTTTAAATTAGTTTATTGCATTAAAATTGTTGTGTACAATATAATATATGTGAATAGTGTTTTTTGTAAATATTGTAAGTAATTTCTTATTAATTAGTTATATATTTTAAAACTATTAATTTGTCAATATTTTTGTTACCTTTTTTCTACAAATTGGCGTATTGAATGAAATATGTTAATTTTAAACAAGAAATGCAATTGTACACTTTAAAGTGAATTATTTTAATTTTTTGAGATTTTGGAATTTATACATACACGCAAATATTAAATATTGTATTTGACATTTCCTTCAATACTTACATTTTTGCCTACATTCTTCAAAAGCATTTTAAATGAAATTACTTTACTTAGAAACTTAAGTAATTTACCCTAATAAATAAATAAAATATTTCATTTAGAATATTTAAATTGTTAATGAATAAATAAATATTTTCAAGCATATCTCTTAAAAAAAAAAAGTAGACAAATGTTATATTTCAAACAATATTTGTATCCATACAGAAGTAATAATAAAGAAACAAATAATTTTTCTTCTTAATAAATCCTTAGTAGATCACTTTATTGGTTAAGTTTTATAACGATTGCAGTCCTTAGGACATTTGCAGTAAAGATAACACCTCTCCAATTTTATTGAATAAACAGTAAAATTTCAATGTCACCTGATATAGGAAGACAATTCCAAAATATAGATAGAATTATGACTATATTTTGATGATGTTACCTCGATATATGACGACACTTGCAAATCGTGGGTAGACTTACGAATATTTCGATGTTATCCATTTTGTAAATGCACTAGCAAATAATCGAAAGAAACTTCGATTTTGATTATATATCGATATTACCCCGATACATATATGATGATACGTGCAAATCATGGATAGAATTATGGCTTAATTTTGATGTCACTCCGTTTTATGAATCCACCAGCAAATAATCGAAAGAAATTTCGATTATGACTATATGTCGATGTTACACCGATATATGATGCCGCTTGCAAATCTTGGATAGAATTACGACTATATTTCGATGTCACTCCGTTTTATGAATGCACCAGCAAATAATCGAAAGAAATTTCGGTTATTACTACATAATTATATCTATGTTACTCTGATATATGATGATGCTTGCAAATCATGGATAGAATTACGGCTATATTTCAATGTCACTCCTTGTTTTGAATGCACTAGCGAATAATCGAAAGAAATTTCATTTCGATTATGACTATGTCGATAGTACCCCGATATATGAGACACGTGCAAATCTTGGATAGAGTTATGACTATATTTCGATGTCAATCCGTTTTATGAATCCACCAGCAAATAATAGAAAGAAATTTCGATTATGACTATATATATCGATGTTACTCCGATTTATGATGACGCTTGCAAATCATGGATAGAATTATGGCTATATTTCGATGTCACTCCTTTTTTTGAATGCACTAGCGAATAATCGAAAGAAATTTCGATTATGACTAAATATATATCGATGTTACTCTGATATATGATGACGCTTGCAAATCATGGATAGAATTACGGCTATATTTCGATGTCACTCCGTTTTATGAATGCACCAGCAAATAATCGAAAGAAATTTCGATTATGACTATATATATACAGGGTGAATTGCTACTCGTGCTACAAACTTCTCCAGTAGATTCTTCACCCTAAAATGAACAAAAAAGTTCATATTGTCCATGGTCCGATTCTCAACCATTTCAGAGTAATTTCGCTTTTTATCGATTTTGAAAGATATCACGTCCTGGCGTCGGAAAATCGTGATATCTTTTAATCTAAACATTTCTCTGAAAATCTAATAGCACCGTTGAAATTCCCGTTAATTTTTCAATAAGAAGATGACGGTGGCAAAATGTTTGGGCTAATTTTTTGTGTTTTATTTCAGCCAGAACTACAAAAAGAGTGGAAAATTGTGTAAATCGGAAAGTGTATAAAGTAATCCAGAGTTTCTAATTTTAGTCTCAGAAGGCAGCAAATTTGAGGAAAACTACCTGATTTAATAACGCTTCCAACGCACTCGTCATTTTCTTATTTAGTGGTTGTGAGACCAAGATGTTGATGACAAAAAGAGAAAAAATGGTGGTTCAAGGATTGCTAATGTTTGAGAGTGACTTGCTACTCGTGCTACAAACTTCACCAGTAGATTCTTGACCCTAAAATGAACAAAAAAGTTCATATTGACCATGGTCCGATTCTCAACCATTTCAGAGTAATTTCGCTTTTTATCGATTTTGAAAGATATCACGTCCTGGCGTCGGAAAATCGTGATATCTTTTAATCTAAACATTTCTCTTAAAATCTATAAGCACCGTTGAAATCCCCGTTAATTTTTCAATAAGAAGATGAAGGTGGCAAAACGTTTGGGTCTTTCTTCCTTGACCTTCTAGCTGTTTGTAAACTTCTTAAGCATTACATACTAAATGGGCATTAAATTAAATTAAAAAATTTCAATGGAATTATGATTTTGATTCTCTCTAAAAATTAACGGGGATTTCAACGGTGCTTATAGATTTTAAGAGAAATGTTTAGATTAAAAGATATCACGATTTTCCGACGCCAGGACGTGATATCTTTCAAAATCGATAAAAAGCGAAATTACTCTGAAATGGTTGAGAATCGGACCATGGACAATATGAACTTTTTTGTTCATTTTAGGGTGAAGAATCTACTGGAGAAGTTTGTAGCACGAGTAGCAATTCACCCTGTATAGATTTTACTCTGATATACGGTGACGCTTGCAAATCATGGATAGAATTACGACTATATTTCGATGTCACTCCGTTTTATGAATGTACCAGTAAATAATCGAAAGAAATTTCGATTATGACTATATATATATCGATGTTACTCTGATATATGATGACGCTTGCAAATCATGGATAGAATTACGGCTATATTTCGATGTCACTCCTTTTTTTGAATGCACTAGCGAATAATCGAAAGAAATTTCGATTATGACTATATATATAGATTTTACTCTGATATACGGTGACGCTTGCAAATCATGTATAGAATTATGGCTATATTTCGATGTCACTCCTTTTTTGGATTGCACTAGCGAATAATCGAAAGAAATTTCGATTATGACTATATATATCGATGTCACTCCGTTTTATGAATGCACTAGCAAATAATCGAAAGAAATTTCGATTATGACTATATGTCGATATTACCCCGATATATGAGACACGTGCAAATCTTGGATAGAGTTATGACTATATTTCAATGTCACTCCGTTTTATGAATGCACCAGCAAATAATCGAAAGAAATTTCGATTATGACTATATATATATCGATGTTACTCTGATATATGATGACGCTTGCAAATCATGGATAGAATTACGGCTATACTTTTTACGTACTACGTTTTATGAACGCACTAGCAAATAATCGAAATAAACTTCGATTATGAGTATATGTCGATATTACCGCAATGTATGATGATACTTGCAAATCATGGATAGAGTTATGATTATATTTTGATTTTACTCCGTTTTATGGCGAAACTAGCAAATTATCGATAGAAACTTATCATTATGATAGAACCATTAATTTTTAATTAGAACAACTTAATTTGATAAATCGTTAAATAAATAGATAGAAAACACTTAGGAATTATCCTTCTTATTTAATATATTGTTATATTGGTTAAAAATTGCAATATTTAGTAATGTACCAATGACAAAATTGATTGATTCTTTTCATATAAACTACATTCTTTATCTGAAGATTTCAATGAAGGGTTCATATAGTCTTTATATTCTTTCTCCAATATACATCGTCATTTTCTTTAATTCACAGTATCTCATAAGAAAAAATGAACTCTGTAAAACTAAAGGAAAAACCGATAAAAAGAGCGATAACTAGGCCTCCCTAGAAAGCAGTTCTCTCAGCCAACTCATGTTGTCCGAGATGACCGAAAAGTCTTCATCTGCTCTAAGTGAAAACCCTCGACGAGCAGTGTTGCCCGCTGATTCATCTTCAGAAGTCTTCTTTTTATCTTATTAAAACGTTTAAATGAACAAACGTTTTACGCTTCTTCTTTTTTTGAGTGTGCCAAATAAACATAAATATGTTTAATAAAAAAAAAACTTTTGTGCACGGCTGTACAACGTACAATGCTAACGATGCAAGATTTATAATGCTATTTTTCACTAATATTATATTTTATTTTGGCTGAAGAACATTTGTGTTTAATAATTTTCCCAATTTTCTTTTATTAATGAAAAGAAGTTATTTTTTGTTTAGACAATCAAAATAAAGCTATACTATTTTCTTTTAAATGAATATTCAAACAAAAAGTACGTTGTTGTCTCTTACTGAACATCAAATTCTATAAAAATTTTAATGGGATCATTGGAAAAGAAAATATAAATAGAAAATTA